CCCCAAAACCCCAAAACCCCAAAACCCCAAAACCCCGAGGTATCTAATTTTAAGTAAAATAATACACAACCTAATGGAAGTCAAAGATGGCAGCAAAGAAGTCATGCATGAGGTACAGAAAGCTGATGATGAGTCCTACCTCAGAGACTACGAGCGACAGCTAGCACTTAGTTCCAAAGATAACCAAGAAGACTGGATTGATCACTGCAGAGAGCTTGTCATTGAGTACAAGAAATTAGCCAAAAACTCAAAGACTTGTTACGAAAAGAAGCAAGGAGACATTGGATATATTCTTAGCCTAAATTGGCTAGACCACTGGAAGAAATACGCTTACTTTAATGTGATGGGGAACAACAATATTCCAGATTTTGAAGAGAGTAGACCAACACAAATTAAAGATATTGATAATGCAGATCTGCTCATCCCAAAATATCAGTTTGTAAACGAAATTGACCCTAAGAGCCATTACAATTTTGTCATCAAGGAAGATTTGCGAGAGAATGTTGATTACATTGTAGTTGACAAAGACATCTGGAACTTCTTCCACTCAAGATATGGAGGAGAGCCTCTCAAGAGGGTTTACCACAAAATTTACACTTTCATTGCAGATGTTGAAACTAAATTCACTCGAGTAAATTTTGTAATTCTTCCTCCTCGTGAGAACTGAGGCTCAGTGGATATTAGTCAGTTCTATACTATATACTCCAGTATGTATGATACACTTGAGGAACTCTTAGTGAGAATAGTGACAAACATGAATTCTGACCAATACGGATATAAGCTACAGAGAGAAAAGATCAAGGCATGGAAATTTCGAATAAGTCATAGTCTCTTAGAGAATACTCATAGAATAAGAGAGTTTGTGTGAAGTCAAGACCAATATTGCTTTGCTATTGATTCTCAGTCTCAACAAGAGCAGCGAACCAAATCAATCATTTACGAAACTGCCATAGCAGATCCAGCCGAATGTCTTGAAGCAGTAACCTATTATCCTCTCTCAGATTTCGATTTTCTATCTAGTACTCTTATAATTGAAGTATTACCTGAAGTATCAGACTACTTTACATCCAATCATGAGGTCACAAACACCAACACACTTATACCCTAACTATTGCTTTATAAGCCCCCTCTTCTCTACAAATTTAGATGTCTAAATTCCCATTTCTGCAATCTGAATGTAAATAATTCAACTTAAAAATTCACCCACGGGGTTTTGGGGTTTTGGGGTTTTGGGGTTTTGGGGTTTTGGGGTTTTGGGG